CCCCCGAAAAAAAAAAAAAAAAAAAAAAAAAAAAAAAAAAAAAAAAAAGTACACAGTACTGGAAAGGGCAGATTCCAGTTTCTCAGCGGCTGGCCCTGTGTGTGACTTCTGTGACTAAACACTAAATAAAGTGTGAGGCCTTAGGGGAACAGGTTTCTTTCATTGAATGTTCTTAAATTGTTTGGCATATTTATTTTTATTTTTGCCAGGGAGAGTGCTGAGGATGGAACCTCGGGCTACTGGCACACTTCCAACTATTCAACCACTGAGTTACATTCCTGTCCCCACCCCCAAAAAGATTTCGTTTAGCCCAAACTGGCCTTGAACACCTGGTCACCCTGCCTCAGTTTCCATAATCCAGGGTACAGGTGTGTACCACCACACCCAGCTCTCCTTTTTAAATTTTATACAGGAACACGCACAGGCCAAGTCTGTCGTTTTCCTTTTGTCTCTGGGCTGGGCACTCCTCCACTTTATGGAACACCCTGCACCCCATGCCCATGGGGTCCTTGCAGTCCAAGGGGGTAAAATGAAGGGCAGTTGATTTTGAGAGCAAGGCCAGTGGTGGAGAGCAGAGCTGTAAGACAGAGACTTAAGATTTCCCAAGGTGATGAGTCTGCCAGGTCATCCTGGAGACCAAAGATGACTTGGGGGATTTCTGCCGGTAACAGTGCCCTTGGCACTTAAGAAATCTTAGTTCCTGTCTTCTTCCTGTATACACTTCGAGTGTGTGTGTGTGTGTGGGGATGATAAGATTTCCTGTGTGTCGAGTAATTTAATACTTTCCATGACTCCCAGGGGGTTGGAACTGTTTCCTTTTTTATAAGCTGTGGAAGCCTATGGACTTTGCTAGCCGTAGGAATCTCCGTGCTTGTGGCACATAGTAGGTGTTGACTGTGAGGACTCTGCCAGTAATGACTTCTTTAACGGGACTTTTCTTTCCTCCGTGATCGAGTGAATAAAACCCGCCTCTAGATAATAAGACCCTCATGGTCTCCTGCACCCTGCAATTTGGATCTCTGGGTTGGCTTTGTTGTGGGCGACCAACCACAGGCAAACCAAACACCTGCTTCTCCAGCTGATTCTCGCAGGACCCCAGGCTGCCGCGACCCCGCGACATCTCAGGGTTCTTTCTACTGTCTTCTCCGGAGCTGGGAACCCGGGAGGCATCTCCCGGCGCGCAGCCAGGGTCCGCCCCAATGGTTCCCAGCCGTAGGGACGCGCGTTCCCGGGTGCCCAACACCCCGATCGGGGCCAGTATTCTTTGCCCCCTCTCACCGGGCGGGGGCCCCGGAACTGTGCGGAGTGGCCGGTCCAGCACCCACAGGCCTGCGTGGGCAGGGGCCTGAGTCACAGCCGCAATCGCCCTCTCAAGCCGGCTTCCATCCCGGGGCCACCTCCGCTCCGCAGGGCGGGCCGGGGCACAGCGCTCTCCCCTGGTCCTCGGCGCGCCCCTCTCCCGGGCCTGTGCCTTCGCAGCTGCCGCCCTCACCCCTGGCCGGCTCCGGGGTAGCCTTGCCCGGCCGCCTCTCCCCGGGAGAAGCCGGAGCTCCCGGCTGTGCCCGGCCGCTCCCGGGAGAGGGGCGCGTCCGCCCCCGCGGCTCCACCCTCTCCGCGGGGCCGCGGCCATCTGGGGCCCCTGCCGGTTGCGTCCTCTCCGGGGCGCGCGCCGACCTCGCACTGGAGGAGGAGGCGACGACATCCCCGGCGGGGATCCGAGTCACCCCACCGGGCGGTCCCCTGCCAGCCTGCTGCGGGGAGCCCCGCGCGGAGATGCCCCGAGGGAGCGGTAACTGCGATCCCAGCCCGGGTGGCAGCGGCAGCGCGTCGCAGCGGCCGCCCCTGGTCACCTCGGTGACCCTGCGGGAGCCGGGACCCGAGCCGCGGAGGCGGCCGTACGGGCCCGCGAGGGCGGCGCGGTCACCGCTCCTCGCGTCTGGAACGGACGCCGGCTGCTGACTCGTCGCCTCCCGCCTTTCCCCGCCAGCCCCCCGCGAGCTGGCAGGAGGAAATAGAGCGCGGCCCCTTTAAATTTACCCAGGAGCCCTTAAAGGAGCCCCAGGGGCCCCAGACAGGAATCCCCACCCCGGTCCAGCCCGCGTAGCCGAGCGAGCAGCCAGCCGTCCGTGCGGCTGGCCGCCCGCTGCATGCGCCCCGCACCCGGGGTCCCCGCGCACCGAGCGCCCCGCGCGGGCCGCCGCTGGCTCCGCGGCCCC